TTTGGCATATGGAATGCCCAATAATATATATTGGATTAACTAACAAATGCATATTTGTATATTCCTTATTTTTACTATTGAATGGTGTTCAAATATAGATTTCAATATTTTTATGCAGATTAATATTTTATTTGTTCTTCATTGTTATGAGACCTTTTAAGATAAGTTAAAATGACCAAACTAAATTGCACTGTCAACATATTCCCCCCACTTAAGAACTGAAAATATGTTCCTTATTAGTATTTCTTTAGAAGACTTTTGAAAACCTATTAACAAATAAAAAAATTGGCTAAGTTTTCAAAACTGTAGGTCTACTACAATCAAATTTCTCATTTTCCTTCAACTGACTGACTACCATAACAACCCACTCTATTTTTCACTGCCCTTATGTGTTAACTGACTATATTCTTTGATTTCCTTAGCTTGGTGTGTAGACTCCTTTTTAATCACAAATCCTAAAAGCGACACTAGCTGCTTTTTGTTCCTTGGAGGTTTCCCCCTTCAGGATAATTATAATCTGTTGTGCCTTTTATTATCGTGTCTTTTAGGATCTCCTAACCTTCTACACCCTTGGGCTTTATTTAATAGTGAGCTCCCGCTTCAACACTCCACACTAAACCATGCTCATTAGGTTTCTTAATCCTCCATAATTTGCTTTCATGAAATCTTATACCTTTGAGTTGCCTTGTTCTGTAAACCCATTTCCTTAGCATAGTTATGCCAAGCAGCCCAGAATCGATAGGCACTAAACACAAGCTTATTCATTTTCTCAGCCAACATGACTGGATAGAATTTTTTGTTGTTGTTTTGAATCTTTATGGATCACAAAACTATACCATTTGAGTTAGTATTTTATTTTCTCACTCAGACTTTACTTGGGATGGTTAAAAATACAGAATTAGCCTACAAGTAATCCTAAACATATAGTTATTAACTTTCAAGTATCAGGTTCTTCTCATTTAGATCAGAACAGAACTAATAGTATCCTGATGTATTAGTGATCAGTAAATTCTAACTATACCTTTGCTGTATACCTAGAATTCTGAAGAAGAGAAAAACATCTTTTGCCAGTTATTCTCTTTTTCCAAATGAACTGGTTTTGGAAGACATGCACATTCTTGAAATCTGACTATACAGTCAATTCTGGGTCTTTCCAGATGCTCATTCTCTTTTTTATCCTTCCTTTTCAATCATTACTAGCACCTTTCCTCAAAGATATGTGCAGCAGCCCAAAAGAGTTTATATTTTCCAATTTAAATCTTTAACCACCTGAAAACCTTGATTTAAAAAAATCTTAGTAGTGAATTGAAAGAGTTAATGGAGTTTCCAAAGATGTCTAGCTTACTCTGGCAAAGTTTATACTTCAACCCTGTGCATGTTAACTTGTGATCCTCCCCATCGAGATGATAGAAAGCAAAGCCAGTAAGTTCTTTATTTAATTGGTTTGCATCCACACAGTGACCTCCAGGGCTCTGTTTATATAGCCTATCATGCAATATGCTCTACAGTTCTCTGCCTCTTTCAAAAGTATGTTTCTCCTGAGATTTGATATATGGCTTTCATGTTTAATCACTACATTAAACTCAATGTTCTGCTTCCTCCAGCATCAACTAACTTCCCTTCTTGGGAGGTGGGGAGAAGAGCACAGTTTCTTGCTACTTCTGAACATAAAAGGAAGTCTGTTTTACTCTATTAGTAAAATCACCAACTCTGCATGATCCTAGGCAAGCAACATTACTACTACATCAAATAGGAATCTGTGTTTAAATAGAAAGTTTAAAACACTTTTAGAAAGAAGGCAGGCTCATTCTGTCAACTGGCAAATCCAGCAGAGTTATAAAGCAACAAAAAGGCTTTTTAACCAATATATAAATCCATACATAAAGACCATACCTAAATGGCAGCTAAAATTTCAACCAAATTAATTGTGAGGAGAGAATATTCCTGGGGTTCTCAGATCAGAATTAATTCTGATTGAAGGATTCCTTAACCATGTGATTCATCATAAGCAGAATTTTCAAAGTCCCTTTAACTGAATGTGGAAACAAAGGTACCACAATCTTTTCCATAATTTGTATGTGACCCAAATTTGTAAATTAGATGAAAAATGACCCATTTAAGTAAGTAAAGACAAGATTTTTATATTTTTAAAAGTCACATAAGTGTATGTATTTTAGTTCAAAATATTTCAAACAAAAATACAAGTGAAATAAATATGGCAAAGTATTTTTAACAGTACATTTTAGATAATGGTATGTTAACTGTTCAACATACTATGCTCTACTTTTAAATGTGACTGAAATTTTTCATTATAAAAATATTAACTTTTAAAAGTCAGGCATAGTGGTACATGCCTGTAATTCCAATACTCAGTAAGCGGAGGCAGGAGGATCATTGTGAGTTCAGGATCAACTTGAACTACACAGCAAAACCCTATCTTCAAACAAACAAACAAAAAACCCAAAAAGGTTATGTGGAATTGCTTTCATAAAAATAACTGATAAAATTGTCATTAAAATATTTATATAATCTCTGGTATATTTTCAACAACTGAAATTTTTTGCCATGTAGTAGCAATAAAAATATTTCTTTCTTTCTGAATTTCACTTCACTGGCTGATACTCATTTGCACAAACTATATATAGTAAACTCCAATTAGATACTTTCCTTGAAAACAATACTTGTGTATAAACATGTTCAAATATATGTGTGCTCTTTATCACTCTGTAGATCTATACATACATACATACATATATATGTATGTATGTATGTATGTATATATGGTGTATTGTGATTTGTCTTTAAAATCCTTTCCTTCATGGCTAGCCATTGAACATAGTGTTTACTTTTTTAAACTTTTTTTTAAAGTAAAATTGGCATCATCCTTAATTTAAAGTCTTAATTTGTCATAGTTGTATACAACATTAAACAGAGTTAGTTTACATTCTGTATTTGATGAACCATAGAGAATCTGAACCTATTAAAATTATTCATTTAGTTGTTCTAATATGTAATCTTATTCCTAATCAAAATTTTCATGATACAAAATGCAAAGAATGCATTTCTCACTACCTTTCTCATGAATACTCATTCAATACTATTCTAAAAGAGGTTATAAGAAAAAATGCTCATTTCTTAATTTGAAACCATATGAATTTGCTCTATATTTTAATTTAAAATTAAAAGAATAAACTTTCAATTAGTATTTCCCATAAGGCTTTAAGGGTACAGAAATTTGTAGTTCTCAAAGACATGCAGATGTTGTCCATGATAGACATTTTTCTTAAAGGATCTGAAGAAAACAAGAGTCACAGAGTGAAGGATGTGTGCTGGTGCAGATGTTATAACTATTTCCATGATAAATATTAAGCTCCGGTACAGGAATTTAGCAGCATACTTTAATTTGCATTTGAAAATTTGACGTAAATTATCTGACTTTGACAACAGCTGCCTAGTATTTCAGTTTAGTGCACTATTTCCAGATTTTGACTTTAGAATGAACTAGTGGAAGTTTTCCTTTTAAAAACTTTATTCTAGATCCTATAACCTAAAACCAGTTGCTTGTTTGATGTTTAGAAATCAAATCATAATGAAGTGAGTTCTTAATAATTATTTGGTAACTGAATGGCAGAGATTAAAAAAATAGACATGCAATTCCATATACAAATTTACTCTCTATCAATTTTGATCATTTATGTCTTACTATTCTTAAAGATGTTAAGTACTTTAAAATGAAAGACTTTCATCCCATTTGAGACACCTTCAGCAAATCAGTGAAACTGGACAATGTCATCACACCAGTAGCCTCAAAATAGTCAATATTATTTACCAAAAATCTATCACTTATACTACCACTTTCATAGGTAATTCAGGAGCCCCAAAATATATAGATGGAGCTCTGGAATTTTAAGTTTTGTTTTATTTTCGGCACCAGGGAATGAACTCACGACCTCACGCTTGCCAGACAAGTGCTTTTGCCTCTGAGCTAAATTCCTGGACCCTTAGTTCTTAAATAAAGTGAATTTGTTAACTTAACAGACTTTATAGGTAAAGCGGTTTCACCAAAGTGGAGAAATTCATAAAAGTATACAATAAAAGAAAGATGAAACTCATGAAGAAAAGTATGTCAGTTCCTTAATAATACTATGGAAAAGAAGTTACAGCATTTGGTTCCTCTGTGAACATAAAAGGCAAAAATATTTTTAAGTTAAATTATTATGGAACTCATACCAGAGTAAGAATGTTATTTTTAAACTCAAAAAGTTGTAATTTTTCTGCAAATTATTTTCTTCTGGAATTAAAAAAAAAACTTTATCAACAGCCCATCAAAGAGCACAATTTATTGATGTGGAACGGGAATCACATGTTGTGTTTTAATTGTAAACATCATCAGAAACTCTGAAGTGGATAAATATCAGCAAGTGACATAGACAAACTTGAGAATCACATGGTTTAATGAGAAGAAAACATCTAACAAGGTTGATAGGTCACTGTTTGTGAGGCTATAAATTGTCTCACTAGATACAAAATAATGCTTAGAATGATTTTAATTTCCCATTAACACCCAATAAAATATCAAAAAAACAGTAAGTCATGGACCAAGTTTTATTTCTATTGGTTGAAACTCATTTGCTGGATTAAATGCATCCATTACCTGCATTTGATGACAAAGCACTTTCAGGGAATCTTTAAATTATTCAAGATGCTTTGTCCCATGGAGAAAATAATATTCTATTTTGATCAGTAAGTATGTACAATCTCCATTCGTAAACTGTGCAGATCTAGAATATTTAATGTTATGGCAAAACTGTGAAAATCCCTAAGCGAACCTCTCAAATTATGATTAGGAGCACTCAACAACCCTGCTTCCAGAGAAGGCTCTCATTTCTAAAAGAAACTAACCAGTCTGCTTAAAATCAAAATAGTTGATCTAATAAATTACTCCTCAGAGAATAATGTAAATAAAATATACTCACAATAACATTATAATGTAAACATACCTGAACCGGAGTCAAATTTGGTTTCTGACCTGCAAAGTGAAAAAGAATTTTTATAATGTAAAAGTTGTTTGTAAAGTAACAAGTTACTTTATGGAGAAGTGTTAAAATTTAGAGATTCCTATATAGTCATAATGCAATAAAATGCTTTTCTAAAGTGTAAATATATATTTATTTTTAACAATTTTAAATACATAGATTATCCTAGGTCTCCTAAATATGCATATATCAATAAGCCCAGTATGGAAAAAGATAATAACATCTTAAGCTTATTTTTGAGAGAAAAAGAGGATAATTTTTTAAATGCACCTAGACTTCATAAATTATTTCTTTCAATACGTAAAACAATAAAAAACCCTAAACCTATAATCATGCTGTTTTACTTCATTATTAAAGATTTTCAATTATTTAACACTAAGTAATTTTTCAGTAAGTTCTCAGCGCACAGCAAATGAACCTAGTCACTCCATACATTTAATAAGAGGAAAAAACTTGAGCCCTTGTGGGAGCATTATGTTTCAGATATAAGTTAATACTAGTTGTAAATTCAGAAGCCTTTGAAGCTCTCAGTTTGGCTGTGGGAAAACTTCTGTTGGGTAATTACTCTCAAGATGCTGCTGATGTGCTGTCAAGCAGAATTAACCCTGTGACTAGGCCTATCTACACAGGCTACTATAAGACAGCATTGTCTATATCTAGCTCTCAAACCAATTAGTGGGCATACTGCAGTCGGATTTATATCACACATTAACTATCAATAGTATATACGTTCACAGCTGCCACAGCAAGATACAAGAACAGAGCAGCAGGAGTCCTGTTAAAGGATGTTACATTGACAGAGAAGATTTTTTTTCCTGGGGAAATGTAGTTAACTAGGAAAGGAGAATTCTTTGAAATTATGCCAGGGTACCAAAGCACTTTTGGAAGTAGTGGCTTTTTTCACTTAAATTAGTTTCAAAAAAGTCATCAAAGAGGATAAGGGAGGATAAGCAAGAAGCTTCTTTCATCATAAAAATTCATTTTCTTAAGTACTTTACAAGTTTCACCTGCTGCTTAAATAAAAAATATAAATAACATATAAAACATATGTATATAAAAGTACAGTTGCAATTATATATTTATTATTATATATAATTATATATCATTGCAAATATATAATGCTAAATATATAATTGCAACTATACACGCACACACACACACACACCTGCAATTGTGGTTTTCAATTATCAAACCAAATCTTATCTCAATCCTCATTTCCCTGCCTCTTATTTCAGATACAACGTATTTTTGGTTTTTATCTTTCCAGTTCTGGGAGCACTTGCTCCTATTTTTCCTGTGATTGCATCATCCCTGCTGACAACTCTAATAACACTTTACACATGTCCCACTGCCTTCTGTATCTATTTCTGCCTACAGACTACAGCCATACCTTACTTAACCTGTAGTCACAAGACCTATGTAGTGCCTAGTGCTTGCATTTGGATATCTCTTAAGGGAAATGCCTACATCTACACACACCCTTTGTTTTCTTAGCGTATAGAAAAGCCAGGGCTGTTGTTTCTTCTCTGTGTGCTGAAATGTATTTCCACATCTCCCCTGAGGCCAGGCTGTCACAATTTATTCCTGCTCTCCACCATATCTTTAATACCTGGTTTTCTATAGCTTCCGTGTCTCTTCAGCACATAAGTGATCTAGAATATTTGTAAAGCTTCCTTCAAGTCTATACCTTGCTTTATCTTCTCTTCTGGCTTTAAAATGAAGTGTATCTAATGATAGACAATAGACTGTATCTTATGCCATTTATCTTCCTTTCCTGGACTCCTAACATATTTACTCCTTGAGTCACTAAAATCAGTCTTTGCTAAGGTTTACACATAGCCTCCTAACGTTAAATGCAAAAACACTGTCCTTGCTTTACGAACCTCTCACTCATTGGATATGCTAGTCACTTCTTTCCAGGGTCCAGATGTTAGCATCCTACTTGCTCCCCACACTTTTTCTGCTCCCTGCTCAGTTATTCCACTGGGTGAGGACATGCACAGCACAGTGAAGACACTGTGTAGCACTGACACTAAGCTTAGTCAGCGATAGACTGGGTTTCACAAATTTTCGTTTTCCCAACACTGGGCATAGTACCTGACACTACAGACTTAATTTAAAAATTGTAGCAAGATTTAATAAATGAACAAATAAATCTATAAATTAACAAAAAGTCTAAAGCAAATAATAATACAAAAGCACTATACCAAAAAATCATGTCAGAAAACTTCTTCAAATTATCTTATGTTCCCCAGAGATGCTGATCATTATATAAAATATACCCATAAAAGGCACAGAAAGCACATTCACAAACTTAGTAGCTTCACATACCATTTAAAATTTTTTTTCAGAATTCTCAGACACAGTTTTGAACATTCAAAAGAATACAGCCACTCTATTAATTATTAACACAAGATAATAGAAGTTAAAACTGTAAGATTTGAGGATGGGGGAAATTCTTCCTATTGCATAAGCTAATTCAGATTACCATGAGATTTTATATATACAGAGACACAAGCATTCTCTATTTTACTATGCAGCATGATCTCTCTCCTTGAGGAATTCTCATAAATTCTCCTTCAGAAAGTAAGTAAAATATAGATATATACAAATAAATAGCCAGTGTAAAAAAGAAAATAATGTAGATTATACAACAAAGACCAACCAGGGTATTCATTCATTTATTAAAAGCATATTTCTTCAGTGCATAAAATAGAGTAATGAGGCATAATATAAATTCATCTTCAAAGATACCCATTTTACCCCTAAATTACATACTCATATCTATGATTAAATCTATTTAACCAGTTGTTTTGGTAATAGCAAAAGATAGTTACCCTAGCACTGTTACTGTTTTATAGCATTCATTCTCTTCTTTTTCATTTTAGAGGCAGAATCTCATGAGTTTTAAACAGATACATGCCTATTTGGTAAAACAAGGTTTGTCATGTCTTTTATGGCTAGCTGTGACCATGCAACTACTTTGCACTAGGCCCCACTCTTAAAAGATCCACCATTTATACACCTCCATATTGAGATCAAGGGTCCAGCACATGAATCTTTAGAGAAAGTACTTAAACAATATCCAAGTCATAGCAAGGATTAAATTAAAATTGCCAAATGGTTAAGGCTGGAAATTAACATTTTATGAATTTTAAAGCAGAAGGAGAAGATGCTGAGAGAACTTGAGTATTGTTAATATTTTAAATAATTAAGATACATAATATATGCAATCTTTTGAGACAGAACTGCAGATTTTCAGAAGACTCAGTTGGGAGGTTTAGTCCTCTGGTTATAGTTGTACACTTTTGGACAAATTTATGAAACCACTGTTTTTTATTTACAGAGAACAGCCTATCATCTTTGAAAAGTCTATATGAATTGAAGTTAAAATTTTTATTTTACTTTAACATATTTTCTTTTTTAAGGAATCCATAAAGTCTCAGAGAGCACTGTCTTTTGCTCAATGTTCAACTGCATCAAAATATTAAAATAAAATTATACAAGCAATTTTTAACAGTAAATTAATGAAGTCAGTGATTTCAGAGTCAAAAGATTTCAGACAATGTGTAGGAAAGGGAGGGTGATGCTCTTACTGTTTTTAACTAATGTCAATGAACAATTCTAGCTGTAGAAAATCATCAGAGGGAAGCTGATGATGACTTTCAGTTTCTACAGTTCTCCTCTACGTCATATTGGTATTGTCTCTAAATTTCAGTATTATCTGCTATCTGTGTAACTATGTCTCCTCTAAAATAATTTAATGTATCCTTATGTACTTCTAGAGAGAATAACTCTTTCACAGTTAGGACCCTTCACCTATTAAGAATAAATTTATGATGCCAGAAAAATAGCATTAAAGAGAACAGAGTATACATTTCCACATTAAGAGTTCAATTGTATTTCTGCCAAATTCCACAGATTGATGTCCTAGTTATTGTTATGGTTTGTATCTAGATGTCCCCTAAAAGCTTCATGTAGTATTAGATGGGATTTTTTACTGGGGTGGCTGAATCTAGAGTGTATGATGCTGGGATTAAGGGAGTGTGATTAGTAAATCAGCTCACTGATTGGTTTGGCATAATTCTAGTTAAGATTAAAGGAGTAAACACTATCCTTACTCTACAGTGGGTAGCCGGCATACACACAAAAAAAGGTTGTCTCTCATTCTGCTGTTTTGTTTTGCTACATCTGGCTGACATGAACTATTCTCCTCTGTGATGCCCCTCTGCCAAGACACCCTGCCTTGGAGCCAGATGATTATGGACTGAAACTTCTACCAACTGTGAGCCTTTCTTTTATCTTTGGGTGTCACATATTTTGTCTCAGCAAGGACAGATAACTAACATATCACTATCACTTCAGAAAATGACTGCATATGGAAATAAAAGGTCATTAAGTGAAAGGAAGGTCATTCAGGTAGATTCTAATCCAATAGAAATGGTATCCTTATAAAAAAGAGGGAATTTAGGCCAAACACACGTATAAGAAAGATGGTATGAAGACATAGGGAAAGTACAACCATCAAGTCAAGGAGAAAGACCTCAGAAGACAACAGAAACACTGCCATCTTCATCTTATACTTCTAACCTCCAAATTTTGAGACAATAAATTTTGTTAAATCTGAGGTGGCAATTTGTTATGGCACTTCTAGAAAAACAATATATTTTACTTATTTTATTGTCAAATATTTAGCAACCTCAAACCTTAAAGACAAGGCAAACCCCAGAAATCAGCTGAAAATAAACAAAAAACATATATGGCTACTTTAACTCATTTTAGATACAAACATGTTTGCCTTCCCTATTTTTCCTCTTTTCAACCATTTTCTGCTAACGTGCTTTACTTATATTTTCCCCACTGAATAGGTGCTTCCGGGAATTACTAACGGCCACCAGCAAGCATGCCATACAATACTAACTAATGGACCGTCTTTGTAGCACTTTATGGACCACGTTCCCAATGGCTGTTTTTGCCTGGTGTGTCAAGACTC